AAAGTGGCAGAGCACGTAGATAAAGTAGTAAAAAAGGCCTATGGCATGCTTACCTTCATTGGATTGGGCATTGAGTATAAGGATAGACAAGTTATGCCGCAGCTATATAGTACTTTAGTTAGGCCCCACTTGGAATATTGCGTACAGTTCTGGTCACCACATTGCCAGAAGGACTGCCAGAAATGCCAGAAGGGTACAGAAAAGGTTTATCAGGATGCCGCCTAGTATAGGAGATTTTAGCTATGAAGAAACTGGGTTTGTTTACATTGGAACGCAGGAGGTTGAGGGGACACCTGATAGAAGTTTATAAAATTGTGAATGGCATGGATAGAGTGGAGAGTATAAGGTATTTTTGCCAGGGTGGAGGGGTCAATTACTAGGGGGCACAGGTTCAAGGTGCAAGGTGGGAAAGTTAAAAGGAGATGTGCGAGGAAAGTTTTTCACACAAAGGGTGGTGAGTGCCTGGAACATGTTGCCAGAGGAAATGGTGGAAGCAGACACAATAGCAGAATTCAAGAAGCACCTGAATGAATACATGAATAGAAAGGGCATAGAGGGATACCGATCCTGTAAGTGAAGATCGTTTTGGTATGGAAAGGCAAAATGTGTCGGTACAGGCTTGAGGGCTGAAGGGCCTGTTCCTGTGATGTATTGTTCTTTGTTCTGATCTGGGATCCAGAGGCAATCCTTGGCTTCAGGTGGGTGTCCTGCCAGCAGCAGTTACAGATGCCAAGTGGTGCTATTGAGTACAAAAAGATGCTAGTTTCTAAATGGCTAACAGCACTTGGCTAGCTAAATTTCAGATCTTAGGTCCTTAATCCTGAAGGAGGCCCACCACTGGACTGTTAAGTGTGCGAGTGGCTCATGCAATGGATCTACCCTAAAAAATTACCTCTGGTCGATTCTCCAGCCAACGGGTGAGATGACTGGCACCTCCACAAGATTCTGCCCCATGTTCCACCTGTCCATCAATTCATTCCTTCATGTAAGATGTAAATAAAGGCAGACCCTTGTCTCATTGTGTGTTGATGCTTCTTTTTCTTGCCTGTTTTTGTCAGTGATTGTTTGCTATCACCGTACACTCTCAGTGACACAGCAGGGAGGCAGATTCTGCACCAATCTCAGCTGGAGTGGGAATCCAGCCCATGCAGGGAGCACAACTCTGAGCCACAACTATCCATGCAGTTTGCACTATTCTGAGTCACACACTAGCCGTCTAGCGAACTGAGGTAGCCATCCCACATTGGCTAGATTGTCCAGCCCATTAACTTCAAAATTCTTTCCGTTTGTTATAAATTCTTCAATGACCTTTCCCAACCCATCTTGGATAGACAGATACCATATTCTGAAGATTCGACTTCTCCAACTCTAATCTACTTTGTTCCCCTACAATTTTCACACCCAGCTTTCAGGTACTTAGGTCTTTGGATAACCCTTCCTTGACCTTCATCTTTACAATCAACTCACGCTTTTCTCTGAGCTTTTGGTCACTTCTACCAATCCCTCCCTTCTTGGCTTGTGCCTCTGCTCCACTCTTATTTATGTTCTTCTGATTAGAGATGATATATAAAAGCCCTTGTTATTGTATAGTAAACTCCCATGACACTGTGCATGAAGTAAAAAGCGACCTTGAGTAACTGAGAATACACACAAATAAGCCTGTGTCCAACAGCCACTCACGTACGATAGTTATATAAAATAAATGTTTGCTATCCAACCTGGATTAAGCATTATCTGTACTCTTTTTGTTATATAACAAATAAAAATTGAAATGATGTGTCAATACATAGGCTATAATATATCAGGCAATATAGAAATATGTACAACTATATATACTTTAAAGATATCTAATTCCATAATTTTGGAATTAGTACCTACAATTATAAATTAGTATATAATTATTAAATGTGAAGTTAATTAATCTTTTTCACTTCAAAAGTATCATTGCATAATGCAATCCTCATTCTATGTTATATATCCTCCCTGTTTCTTTCTCTGATACATATGGTTGTTGTTGATAGATACTTATGTGATTTGTATCATTCACTGATGTTGCTGATAAGCTATAAATAAATAAAAGGTAACAATTTATGTGAAGCAACTTAACAGGTTTCCATTATCAGTTCTCCTGTTTGCAAGTCATCAGCCTTGCCAGGGCAGTATTGTATAGCTGTAAGTGACTTTAGGTAGGCAACCTGATTTCTGCTCTTTAGCATTTCTGTACACAAAAAAGAGAAATAAAAGAGTAATAAAATATTAATTGTTAGAGTCATAGAGTCATCGGGTCATACAGCACAGAAATATACACTTCGGTCCAACTCGTTCATGCCAACCAGACATCCCAATCTGACCCAGTCCCATTTGCCAGCATTTGGCACATATCCCTCTAAACCCTTCCTATTCATATACCCATCCAGATGCCTTTTAAATGTTGTAATTGTACCAGCTTCCACCACTTCCTCTGGCAGCTTGTTCCATACAGAAACCACTGTCTGCTTTTTAAATCTTTCCCCTCCCCCCCTAAACTTATGCCCTTTTTTTTTTTCCCCCCCCCCCCCCCCACCCACCAACCTAGGAAAAAGACGTTGGCTATTCATCCTATCCATGCCCCTCTTGATTTTATAAGCCTCTGTAAGGTCATTCCTCAGCGTCTGAAGTTCCAGGGAAAATAGCCCCAGCCTCTCCCTGTAGCTCAAACCATCCAGTCCCAGCAACATCCTTGTAAATATTTTCTGCACCTTCTCAAGTTTAACAACATTCTTCCCATAGAAGGGCGACCAGACTTGTGTCCAATATTCTAAAAGTGACCTCGCCAGTATACTGTATAGTGTGACAATAGTATGGCTTTAAGAAATCTATTTTGTCCTGGTTTGTTTTATGAAGAAAGGTTGAGACAGAGGTAGTGAGCAGTCTGCTCCAAAGTCAATAAAGTAAACAGCTTGTGAGGCCTTTTTTTATAAGTTGGAACAATAAAAACAACCTGAATGGGTGGGGCCAAGCTCCCACAGAGCCTGGATTTTTTAAAAGTTGTAGCCTTCAACAGCAGTTGCTGAGATCTTGAAGCTGGATGTAGAAGCTTGTATTCCTCTCTCTGTTACAGCCAAGAGCTGGGGTTCTCTTCTTGATGCTAGAATTGCATGTGGCACAATCTGTTTTACTGAATTTGCCTTTGCCAAGGGTGTGTTTATGGGATTTTACTGTATTGGAACAGTTAATTAATAGTAGTTATATACATATAATAATATATATATATCATTTTGTTAAACATTTTGATAGTGTTACAGTTAAACCAATTCTTTTATTTTTATTTTGTCTTTATTTTAATATGTATGAATAAAGTGTGTTTTGTTTCAAGCCTGGTGGTTTGACGAATCAAATTGCATCCAGAACACAATGCCTTACATTTACCTTTAAAATAAGAAAAAGTTAGGATCTAGACTATATTCTTAATATACTTTGAAGGAGTTTGGTCTGGTCCAAAACAACAGCCGCAACATGACGTCCCAGCTCCTACATTCAATGTTATGACTAATGAAGGCAAACATGCCAAATGCCTTCTTCACCACTGTGTCTACCTGTGACTCCTCACTCAAGGAACTATGAACCTGCACTTTTAGGTCTTTTTGTTCAGCAACACTCCCCAAGGCCCTACCATTAACTGTATAAGTCCTGCCCTGGGTTACCTTACCAAAATGCAATGCCTCACATTTATCTAAATTAAACTCCATCTGCCACTCCTCAGCCCATTGACTCATCTGATCTAGGACGTGTTGTACTCTGAGATAATCTTCTTCACTGTCCACTACACCTCCAATTTTAGTATCATCTGCAAACTTAATAATTGTGCTTCCTATATTCAGATTCAAATCATCTATATATAAATGATGAAAAGCAGTGGACCCAGCACTGATCCTTGTGGTAAACCACTAGTCACAGGCCTCCAGTCCAAAAAACAAACCTCCACCACTACCACCCTCTGTCTCCTACCTTCAAACTAGTCTTGTATCCAAATGACTAGCTGTCCTTGGAATCCATATGAACTAACCTTACTAACTAGTTTACCATGCAAAACCTTGTCAAACACTTCACTGAAATCCATATGGACAATGTCTACTGCTCTGCCTTCATCAATCTACTTTGACACCTCTTCAAAAAACTCAAACAAGTTAGTGAGACATGATTTCCCATGCACAATGCCATGCTGACCATCCCTAATCAGTCCTTGTCTTTCCAAATACATGTAAATCCTGTCCCTCAGAATCCCCTCCAACAATTTACCCACCACTGACATCAGACTCACTGGTCTATAGTTCGCTGTCTTTTCCTTACAGCCTTTCTTAAATAATGGCACCACATTAGCCAACCCCCAGGTTTCCGGCACCTAATCCTTGGCTACCAATGATACAAATATCTCAGCAAGGTGCCCAGCAATCTCTTCCCTAGCTTCCCACAAAGTTCTGGGAAGTGCCTGATCAGGTCCCAGGGATTTATCTACCTTTATGCATTTTAAGACCTCCAGCACCTCCTTTTCTATGATATGAATGCTTTCCAAGCCATCACTATTCATTTCCCCAAGTTCCCTAGCTTCCATGTCTTTCTTCGCAGTAAATACTGACGTAAATATTTGTTTAGTATATCATCCATTTCCTGTGATTCCACATGTAGATGGCCTCGTTGATCTTTAAGGAGGATTCTCTCTGTAGTTACTCTTTTGCCTTCAATATATTTATCGAATCTCTTTAAATTCTCCTTAACTCTATTTGCCAAAGCGATCCAATTAAATAATAACTAATAAAGGCAATGCAGGCAGAATAAGAAGAGCCAAAATCAAAGTGTCTGCATAGACATTCATATCTATCTTGAAGACTCAAACTTTGGATTTTCATTACTTTCCTTTTCTCTGCCATTTCTTCATTATTGAATTGAATGCCGGAATAATAATTAAGAAACGTAAGATATCACCACCCTAACTCTGCATGTAATTACTTGTTTGCTTATAGCCGCATATAAGAGAGGAAGACGAATCAAAAGATGCAAACCAACACCATCAGCCTCCACACATGCCTCACAAAGAAGTGTAGAAATCACAGAAAACAGAACATCCAGCGATCCAGAGTTAGTTCCAGGAAGGTAAGAGTTCAGTGATAATTGTCCTAAACAGTCATAACATAATAAATAATCTTGATTTCATTAAAAAAAAACGGAAGAACTGCAGATGCTGTAAATCAGGAACAAAAACAGAAAGTGCTGAAAAAGCTCAGCAGGTCTGGCAGCATCTGTGAAGAAAAAGTCAGAGTTAATGTTTCAGGTCTGGTGACCGTTCCTCAGAATGAGTTCACAAGACCCGAAACGTTAACTCTGATTTTTTCTTCACAGATGCTGTCACATCTGCTGAGCTGCTCCAGCAACTTCTGTTTTTGATCTTGATATTATGTTTGACATCATATAAAATAAAATGCATGGAAAACCATCGCATAATATTACAATTCAGCTAAGTTTTGTGTTCACGTGTTGATCAAAGGATCGCTTGGACTAAGCATGAGTAATTATCACCTTTACCACAACCCATTCATTTCTTTATCCCTAAATTCAGTCAACAACCTGTTGGATACCCTACCTGGAGGCAGCATGTAAAATGAACTGCTGCCTTCTCAAACATCGATTTTAGCCCTCAGAATCTTCTTAGAAAAATTTGTAAGCATCAGCATGGCTGCCAGAGGTCATACACGGCAAGGAGGTAAATGCTGGTATGGTGCATTGATCACGGCAACTAACCAGTTTTGTTAAGGAGAAGCAAGAAGCTCTGGCCCAGATAATTACACAGCATCCATGTTATTTTGGGAAATTCAGTTGGACAATGATATTGAACAAGTATACATTGATTCTGCATATGAACATACAAATCAGGAGCAGGATTAGTTCATTCAGCCCCACAAACCTGCTCTGCCATTCAATATCATTGCAACTGATCTATTGTAATCTTAAATCCACATTTTTGCTTACCCTGATAACCTTTCAACCGTTTGCTTAACAAAAATCTACCTACCTCTGCCTTGAGACAGATAGGAAGAGGAGAAGAGAAAATAAGAATATTCAAGTATCGTGCTTCCACATTTTTTTGGAAGACAGTTTCAAAGACCCATGACATTGTGAAAGAAAAAACGGTCACCTAATCTCTGTTTTAAGTGGGCAATCCCTGATTTTTGAACAGTAACCCCTAGTACTAGATTTTTCCATATATAGAGACATCCATTCCACATCCACTGAATCCACGCCCTTTATATCTTTCAATTGTGTTGCCTCCTAATCTTCTAAATTCCAACGATACAAGCCTAGCCAGCCCAACATTTCCTGATAAAACAACCTGTCCATTACATGTATTAGTCCTGCAAACCTTCTCCTAGCAGCCACTAATGTATTTACAGGCTTCCTTAAAGAAAGTGACCAATACTGTGCACAGCACTCCAGATGCATTCTCATCAATGCCTTATGTAACTGAAGCATCACCTCTTTTTTATTTGTATTTAATTCCCTGTGCGGCAAATGAAAACATTCCATTAGCATTCATTATTACTTGTTGTACCTGCATGCTAACCTTTGGTGATTCATGCATGAGGACACTCAGATCCCTTTGTACCTCTGAGCTCTGCCATCTCCCACCATTTAGATCATATGCTTCCCTTTTTATTATTCCTGCCAAAACGTAAAGTTTCACATAATGCTCCATTTACCACATCTTTGCCCACTCACTTACCCTGTCCCTACTTTTTGCAGCTTCTTTGTGAGCCCTTCACAACTTACTTTCTTTTCTATCTTTGTGTCATCAGCAAATTTGGCAACCATACCTTTCATCCCTTCATCTAAGTCATTTATATAAATTGTAAACTGTTGAGGTTCCAGCACTGATCTCTGTGGCACACTACTCGTTACATCTTGCCAACCTTAAAAAGATCTATTTGCACCTACTCTCTTTTATGCAAACAAGTAATTATATGTAGAGTTAGGATTGTAATATCATACGTTTCTTAACTATTATTCTGGCATTCAATTCAATAATGAAGAAATGGCAGGGAAAAGGAAATTAATTAAAATCCAAAATTCTATCCATACCAATATGCTATCCCCACATCATGTGCTTCTATTTTCTGCATAACGTGTCATCTTATGAAATGCCTTCTGGAAATCTAAGTAGAGTACATCCACTAATTCTCCTTTATCCACAGCACAACGTTACCTTCTCAAATAGCTCTAATAGATTGGTCAAACATGATTTCCTTTTCACAAAACCATGTTGACAGTGCCTGATTGCCTTGAACTTATCCAAGTGCCCTGTTCTAATTTCTTTCAAAACAGCTTCCAAACATTTTCCCTCTGAAATATTTTAAGTTATCAGCTGATAGTTTCTTGCTTCTGTCTCACTCTTTTCTGAAGAAAGGAATTATGTTCTCAATCTTGCGACCTAATGGGATTGTCCCCAGGTCAAGGGAGTTTTGAAAATTAAAATCAATACATCAATTATCTCACTAGCCACTTCTTTTCAGGCTACTCAGTACAGACTGCAGAGCAAAGCTCAGAATTTTCTGTATGTATGCGATTCAATATCACAAGGCATACTGAATTTAGCGTGTTTCTGATTTTGTTTGGTTCTTGTTCATTCTCAGGATGTGGGTAACATTTGACAAGGCAGTTATGACTCCATCACATTGGTGTGTGGGAATCTAGTAATATTTATAACCAGGAAATGATCCATTATTGTGTTAGTTAAATATATTTTTAATAATTTCCTCTTTAGCTAAACCTACTCATTGCTTCTGCTGGGCAGGGGGTGGTTGATCTAACAAAGTTCACAGCCTTCTCACTGCTCAATTTCTAACTGTGCTATTAATAGGAAATCTTTGTTACACTGGTTGTATTACAACATATGGTGTCAGTGAATATGCAATACATTAAGGTGTATTTAGTTAAGTGGTATAGCATTCCTGACTGGGAAACAAAACAGCATTTTTTTTTATTCTTTTTTGTGGAGAATGGATCAAAATGGGGCAGCATGGTGGCTCAGTGGTTAACACCACTGCCTCACAGTGCCAGAGTCCTGGGTTCAAGTCCATCTCAGGCTTTGTGGAGTTTGCATATTCTCCTTGTCTCTGCATGAACTTCCTCCGGGAGCTCCCGTTTCCTCCCACAGTCCAAAGATATGCAGGTTAGGTGGATTGGATACGTTAATTTGCCTGTGGTGTCCAGGGATGTGCAGTTTAGATGGATTGGCCAGGGGCAATGCAGACTTACAGGGATAGAGTAGGGGGTGAATCTGGATGGGATGCTTTTCAGAGGGTTGATGTGGACTCAATGTGCCATATGGCCTACTTCCACACCATGGGGATTCTATGATCTGACATTATACACAGAGTAAAATTTTTTCCTCCTGAGTGTGAAAACAAGAGTTGGGATTTTGTCAACAATGTGTCACTCTTAATGTTGTAACCAGAACTGAGTGCCACTGCTGCTTTCCCTGTTTCTGCCTTTTTCCATGCAAACATAATTAAAATTCACGATGCCAATGGCACGCGTGTGAAACACATGTATTGCAGTGGCTGGAGAAGTTTTCCATTGGTAAAACACATCATTGGCTGACAATGCCTCATCTAGGGGTGGGCTATTAAAGAGTATCCTGGTCAAACAAGGAGGGTCTGCGTCACCGCCACAACTTCCCTGCCCAACCTCATTTCTGTTAACATAGGACGTGAGAGGACTATTGGGCATGGATACTTTTCAAAATTAAATGTCATTTGTAAATATTTCGTGTTGCATTGCTTTCACATTATTCACACATGCATCATCATTATTAATTCAATCAGTTTAGTCAGAGAACCAAATATCCTGGTAAGTCAAACAGTTGGCATGCATTGATGGTACAAGGGAGTTGGCAATATTTCCTTTATTGTCAAAGAAACAATGTTGTGCTTTTGCATTCACTCACTATTGAATCTTTGTATTAGTGACCAGTGTTCTCAACACCTTGTGGAACACAGCTGAACTTGCAGGCCCCACTGGCCCTTCGTCCTATGCATTGTAAAGGACACTTTCCTGGAGTAATCTCACTGGGGGTAATCAAAATATTGTCTTCTTTTCACCTCTTCACAGTCAAAACTTTTAAGAAGGTTGTATTCGTCAGTTGCAGGCTTGCTTGGGGATAGTTAGAGCTATTCATGACTGGTAGATACTCCCAAATTGGAAGCAAGTGAAGGTGTCACTGGTAGGGATAACTGGATCTATTCTTCTCCTCCTTTTCTCTTTAATGCTGCCTTTGTTCTCGGTCTCAAAGATATCTGTAGCCTTCCCAATGTAGCAATTCCAAGCATAATGATCTCCACCCATGCTTCCTACCAACTATGATAGATGTGGCACACAGAGAGTGACTTCTTCAGGGAGTATTGAAAGGTTTACATACAGCCTCTGTTACATTTACCAGTAGTCTGTACAGATCTTGGCAGATGATTGTTGTGTCACTGGGCATCCAACCCACTTGGCATTGTAAGAGGATGGCATCACTGCAAGTGATGTTGGTTGTTTCCAGGATTTCAATGTTTGTGATGCAGTCCTGCCAGCAGATCTTGAGGATGCTTCAGTGGTAGTCCTTAGACAGTGTAGATGAGAATGGAGCATGATCCATAGCTCAGTGCCATACAGAAGAGAACTACAGCATTGAACACGTTGAAATAAAACAAAGAGCTACAGCTGCTGGAAATCTGAAAGAGAAACAGAAATTGCTGAAGAAACTCAGCAGATCTGGCAGCATCTATGGAGAGAGGAACAGAGTTAACATTTAGGGTCCAGTGACCCTTCTTCAGAACAGGTAGTAGCTAGAAAAAGGTGGCATATATGCTGAAGACAGGGGGTAAGGTTGTGGCTGTGGAGGAAGTGAAGGAGGAACTGCTAGATGGAGAGGGAGCCCAGAGGGAGAGAAAGACGGTTAGACAGACAAAGGGATAATAATGGTAAGTCAGGGAGAGAGAAAAACTGCTAATGGGAACCATAATTAGGTGAAATTGTGTTGGCTGCACTTAAAGCAGCCCATGTCATGACAGGGCCTGGGGTGTGTGTGTGAATAAAGAACAAAGGTTTTCAGGCCC